AAGCCGATCCACACCTGAGGTGGCGTCGGTGGCCGACCACGGCAGGTGGCCGGGCCACCTGTGCGCCAAAGGCGACAAGTAAGGGTTGCCTATAAATAGGCCGGCCTTGGTTCATTTTCAAAGGTTGAAACTTGTTTGGAGCGAAGCTGCTGCTGGATTGAAGGTCAAACTTTAAAAAGATGAAGGCTTTTGGAACTTTGAAGAAGACATTAGACAGTATCAGATTCTTTGGTTCTTTGGGCGGAATCATCCACAGCTTAATAAGGCAGGAGTTCGAGAGAGATCAGATCTGAGATCCACACGGTGAGAAAAGTCTCGATTTCGCTTGGTCGATTTCGATTACTAGGGCGATTATTTCCTTGGTGAATTAATCCCCCCGGCTATTATTTCCTTCGCGAAATAATACTCGTCATATCGTGTAGATCCGACCGGATCAAGATCGCGCGGTGGTCCACGGATTAACCCCGGCGCAGGCGAAGAACCCACAAAAGCAAGAGACCGCAAAACAGGATCTTGCGATTTGTTCGAAAAAGGAAAGTTGTAATCTTTTTATTTTTTTCTTTGATTTTGTTGTAACCGGATCTTATAAAAAGACCGGATCTTTTGTAATCAAAAAACAATTACTCAAGAGAACAATGAAATCAATGAAGAACACAATTTTTCCCGCGAACATAAACAACCTACACCCCCAAGCTTAAGATATGCATTGTCCTCAATGTAATAAGATATAAATTAGTGCAAGGGAGCAGAGGACATACCAACTCACTGGTCAGAAGGAGGCGGCGCGAAGGCATCCTGTCGGAGCTGCCGCTCGTGAAAAGACTACATCATGTAGTGTATAGAGTCTAGTAGTTGTCCTTGACGATGTTGCTCTTGCTTGATAGCACCTACACGGTTAGGAAGGAAGGCAAGCGAAATATGGATAGCTGATAATTCCGCTGACCAGTCAGGGGGATGGGAAGAGCTAGTTCCCTTGGTAGGCTCAGTCTTTTTGTCATCGTGTTGTAGAAGTTGAGGCTCCCTGACTAGGCCATCCGTGCTTAGGTCCCATTTAGTCTCTCGAACGGAAGTTGACAGCAGGTGTTGAAGGAGACGCTGGCTGTTGTGCGGTGAAATCGAAATCAGGGTGGGAGGGCTGAGGTGGCGCGGCGGTGATGCATGGTGGTCGAAGAGTAGAGAGAGGCGGGCGGTGCAAGGTCGGAGCATGGTGAATGTGTTTGGTTCGAAGAGAGGTTGGGGGGTGGCTCGTTGCTGGGGGTGCGAAGGAGGGGTAGGGAGTTTTGAGAGTAGGGTGGTTTTCTGCAGTGATGAAGGGGAGAGAGCAGCAATTAGAGGGAGAGGATGAGGCGGTGGTCGGCGTTGGGAGAGATAGTGTGGTGGTCGCTAACGGTGTTGAGGACGAAGAGAGGTCCGAGTTTGGTCGAAGAGGTTGGGCGGTATGGTTGTTGGGCGTGGTGGTCGGCAGAATGAGAGATGCGCCGACGCATCTGGTCAGGGGGGATTTTAGGATGGAGTCGCGGTTTGGTTGTGCACAGTGTGGTCGGCGGAGAAGAGAGATCTGTCCGCGGTGATGAAAGGAGGGTAGTGGTGATGTTGGGGGTGGCGGTGGGGCGGTGGGATGAGAAGGAGGGCAGCTCCGGCTAGGTCGTTTAAGAGGAGAGTAGGCGCGGTGGGTGATAGCTGAAGGAGAGACGGCGACGTAAGTGGTTTGCTTGGATGGGGGCGGTGTCATGGCGATGGTCGGAGAAGAGAGGTGGTGCTGCGTCTGGTGGCGGTGATGAAGAGAAGAGAGGCGGCTCTTCGCTAGTTGTGAGGGAAGGAGGCAGTGAATTAGGTTAGGGCAAATAAGAGGAAAGGGTCTGGTTGCTGGGATGAAAAGGGATTTTTTTTTTTGAACCACGGGTGTGGCACTGGGTGTGGTAGACTCTGGATTTTGGTGTCCAGCTTTCTCTATAGCGAACCATGGGTGTAGCACTGGGTGTGGTAGAGTCTGGATTCTTTTCTTCCTATAGACCATGGGTGTGGCAGACGGGTGTGGTAGAGTATGGATTCTTTTCTTCCTATAGACCATGGGTGTGGTATACACCACCCCTGGGTGTGGTAGAGTCTGCCATCCTATTTTAACTCCTTTTTCTGTAGTTTTTTTTATTTATTATCATTCCTTAGTTAGTGCCATGTTCTCCCTTCTTCTCAACTGCATTAATGAAAATATTATAAGTTAAATTTGTGCCGAACCAATTGCCTATAAAAATAATAAACAAAATTAAAATGAAATGAAATAAAAGAAAATAATAAGAATGGGGAAAAACTTGGGTTGCCTCCCAAGAAGCGCTCGTTTATGGTCATGAGCTCAACCCCTTTTTCGCTTAATTCTCTGACGAAGAGGATCAGAAAGGGTATAAGTGACCCCTTTCTCGTGTTGTTCCCCTACAATGTAGTGCTTCAATCGTTACTCATTCACCTTGAAAGATCTCGTTGTTTCGCTCCAAACTTCAACAACTCCACCAGGAAAGACCTTGCAGATTTGAAACGGTCCGGACCATTTAGACTTGAGCTTGCCCGGAAAAAGCTTCAAACGAGAGTTGAAAAGCTTTCTTATTGTGCCATCGTTTAGTCTTTTCTTTATAAATGCGAGCATTCTCATAGGAATCTAATCGTAGTTCATCTAGCTCATGAAGTTGAAGCTTTCTTTTCTCACCTGCGGCCTTCATATCGAAATTGAGCAACTTGATAGCCTAATACGCCTTTTGCTCTAACTCAACTGGGAGATGACATGATTTGCCATACACCAACTTGAACAGTGTCATACTTATGGGTGTTTTGTAGGAAGTTCGATAGGTCCATAAAGCATCCGAGAGTTTCATAGACTAGTCCTTTCTCGAACAATTAACTATTTTCTCCAAGATACTCTTAATTTCACGATTCAAAACCTCCACTTGACCACTAGTTTGAGGATGATATGGTGTGGCAACCTTATGGGTGACCCCATATTGTCTTAAGAGAGCTTCGAATTTTCTTTCAATAAAGTGTGAACCGCCATCACTGATTACCGTCCGTGGCACTCTAAATCACGTTCTTGAATAGTTTCACAACCACTTTAGCATCGTTAGTGGGGGATGCTATCGCTTCTACCCACTTGGAGACGTAATCCACCGCCACTAAGATGAACTTGTTATTACACGATAACGGAAACGGTCCCATGAAATCTATGCCCCACACATCAAAGACCTCAATTTCCAAGATGGAGTGTAAAGGCATCTCATGTCGCTTTGAAATGTTCCCGGTCCTCTGACAACTATCACATGAAGTCACAAACTGTCTTGCATCCCGGAAAAGACTTGGGCAATAGAAACCTGATTGTAAAACTTTTTCACCTGTCTTTGAAGTGCTTGCATGTCCCCCGTAGGATGATGAATGGCAATGATGGAGAATACTTGTAACCTCATCTTTTGGAACACACCTTCTAAACATACCATCAACACACCGTTTGTACAGAAACGGTTCATCCCAAAAATAGTACTTCAAGTCAGCAAAGAACTTCTTTTTCTGTTGATAGCTCAGATCTGGAGGCAAAACTCCACACACTATGTAGTTGACGAAGTCCGTATACCATGGTGCATCTAATCTTTCTTATGGCTAACAACCTGAATCATCGCTGGGAAAAGAGTCGTCGATTGGTAGTTCATCCTCCTCCCTTAATAGTGATTGTTGTGTCATCTCGACAAATGGTCCGCCACCAAATTTTCCGTCCCTTTCTTGTCCTTTATCTCTAGGTCAAACTCTTGTAAAAGAAGTATCCATCGAATCAACCTAGGCTTGGCATCTTGCTTGGTTAAAAGATATTTGATGGCTGAGTGGTCGGTATAAACGATGACTTTGTACCCCACTAAGTAAGACCTGAACTTGTCAAAGGAGAAGACAACTGTTAATAGCTCCTTTTCAGTGGTAGCGTAGTTAACTTGGGCCTCATCAAGAGTGCGACTAGCATAATAAATTGCATGAACTATCTTGTTTTTCCTTTGGCCCAGCACAGCACTAACCGCATAATCACTTGCATTAGTCATGACTTCAAATGAGAGATTCCAGTCCGGTGGTTGCATAATAGGAGCTGTTATCAATGCTTTCTTCAACCTACAAAAAGCATCAAGACATTCATCAGTGAAATCATAGGGAGCATCTTTAAGAAGAAGTTTAGTTAAGGTTTTTGTAATTTTTAAAAAGTCTTTGATGAAACGCCGATAAAAACCGGCATGTCCCAAGAAACTTCTTACTCCCCTAACCGATGATGGTGGTGGCAATTTTTCAATGATTTCCACTTTTGCACGATCAACTTCAATTCCTTGCTCGGACACCTTGTGTCCTAGAACTATTCCATCCCTTACCATAAAATGACATTTCTCCCAATTTAGGACTAAATTAACTTCTTCGTAACGCTGCAAAACTCGAGACAAGTTAGCTAAACAACCATCAAAAGTAGTTCCATACACAGAGAAGTCATCCATAAACACGTCCATAATGTCTTCTATAAAATCAGAGAAAATAGCCATCATACATCGTTGAAAAGTAGCAGGGGCATTACAAAGATCGAAAGGCATGTTCCTATAAACAAAGGTCCCATGGGGACAGGTAAAAGTGGTCTTTTCCTGGTCACTAGGATGAATAGGGATTTGGAAAAATCCCGAATAGCCATCTAAATAACAAAAATAGGAATGCCTTGCCAACCTTTCCAACATTTGGTCTATAAAAGGAAGTGGAAAATGATCTTTTCGGGTTGCCTTGTTCAACTTTCTATAATCAATGCACATCCTCCAACCCGTAACCGTCCTAGTAGGGATAAGTTCATTATTCGCATTCTTGACTACGATCACACCCCCTTTTTTAGAAACCACATGGACCAGACTAACCCATTCACTATCAGAAATAGGATAGATTACCCCAGCATCTAGTAGCTTAAGCACCTCTTTTTTAACCACTTCCTTCATGTTAGGATTTAATCTACGTTAGTGCTCTACAGAGGGTTTATGATCATCTTCCAAGAGAATTCTATGCATGCAAATCGATGGGTTGATTCCTTTAATGTCATCCATGGTGTATCCTATGACCTTGCGATGCACCCTAAGAGTTCTAAGCAACTTATCAGTTTTATTTTCATTCAGACATGCATTCACAATCACAGGATAAGTGGAGTTAGGGCCAAGAAATTCATACCTTAAAGAGGAAGGGAGCGGTTTTAATTCTACCTTTGGTGCTTTATCCTCTTCACAAGTAGAAACTTTTGGCTCTAACTTCAGACTTTCAAACTTTGCATTTCGAAATGGAGTAGCTGATGTTGATTCTAAAGATTGAGCATACGCGGCTACCTCGGGGTCTTCATCATTTATTGAACCTTTGCTTACCAAACACTTCTCGAGTGGATCAGCTGAGTAATGATTTGCAAGTTGCTCATGTGTACACTTGTCAATCACGTCGACCCTGTAACAAACTTTATCAGTTAGAGGGAGTTTCATAGCATTGCTTAAATCAAATTCTACCATCTTCCCTCTAATATTTAGAGAGAGCCTTCCATTTTTAACATCAATTATAGCACCTGCAGTAGCAAGGAAGGGTCTTCCTAATATAATTGGAATGTTAGAATCTTCTTCTATTTCCAAAATAACAAAATCAACCGGGATAAAGAACTTACCGACCTGGATAGGTACATCTTCAAATATACCTATCGGATATTTTACCGATCGATCCGCCAATTGGAGTGATATCGTGGTTGGCTTCAAATCACCTATGCTAAGCTTCTTACAAATAGACATTGGCATCAAACTTACGCTTGCACCTAAATCACACAAAGCACGGTTAATAAAGACATTACCAATAACACAAGGAATAGAAAATGAACTTGGATCCTTAAGTTTAGGAGGCAACTTGTTTTGGATGATAGCACTACACTCCTTAGTAAGGGCTACAGTCTCGTATTCTTCTAACTTCCTTTTATTAGATTGGATCTCTTTCAAGAACTTAGCATAGGAAGGCATTTGAGAAATAGCTTCAGTGAATGGGATATTGATGTGCAAATCTCCAAAAAATTTTCGATCTGCTTTTCTAACTTAGACTTAGCTAACCTTTAGGGAAAGGGTAGAGGAGGCTTGTAAGGAGCTGGAGACACATATTTCTCAACTTTTTCTTTTTCTTGCGTTTGAGTCTCATTATCCACATCTATCACATTTTCATTTTTTTCTTCATGATGACCATCTACCCCATCATTTTCTTCATCTTACGTCCCTCATATTGTTTTTCACTCCTAAGGGTTATAGCATTCACATGACCCCTTAGATTTGTCTCAGGTTGTCCAGGTAGCATGCCTGAAGGCCTAGAGGAAGAGCTAGCATTTTGTGCCAATTGAGTGATTTGTGTCTCTAACATCTTGTTATGTGTAGCTAGGGAATCCATCTTAGAAGCCAATTGTTTTACTACCTCATTCGTGGTTTGTTGTTATTGCTTAAACTCTTCATTCATTTTTGACTGAGTCGTCACAAACTTTTCCATCATATTTTCAAAATTAGACCTTTGGGGAGGGAGATTGGATTGAGGAGCACGAAAACCAGGTGGATCAAAATTATATGCAGGCATGGGATTTCCCAGTGGGTTTCTATAAGAAAAATTAGGATGATTCCTCCACCCCGGATTATAAGTATTGGAGAATGGGTCTCCCTTCTGATTAAAGTTATTAACATAGTTAATATGTTCATTACCAGAAGTATCAATGGATGGGGGTTTCCTAATTGATATCCAAGTGCAGAATGACCCACATAACCACATATCTCACATGAAATTGAAGTAGACGCCACAGAATTAATACTCAAGCCTTCAACTTTTTTAAACAAAGCATCAACTTTAGAGGATATATGATCTAAAGCATCTATTTCATACTAGCCACCTTTTGATGTCTGAGCACGCTCGTTCGTCCATTGATAGTGATTCTGAGCCATGTCTTCAATGAGAGTGTATGCCTCATCTATTGTTTTGTTCATCAAATCTCCTCCTACAGTAGCATCAACAGTCATCCGAGTGTTGTAAGTGAGCCCGTTGTAGAAGGTGTGAACAATTAACCACTTCTCTAGTCCATGGTGAGGACACATCCTCAATAATTCCTTATAGCGTTCCCAAGCTTCATAGAGTGATTCTCCTTCCTTCTGTACAAAGCTTGTGATTTGGTTCCTCATCTGTGCCGTTTTACTTGGGGGAAAATACTTTGCAAGAAATGCCCTGGACAACTGATCCCAAGTGGTGATGGACCCTGCGGGTAATGAGTACAACCAAGCCCTAGCCTTATCCTTTAAAGAGAATGGAAAAAGTTTGAGTCGAATAGCATCACTGGTCACTCTATTAAGCTTCAAAGTGTCGCAGTACTCCAAGAAAATCGACAAGTGGAGATTCCGGTCTTCAGTAGCACCTCCTCCAAACTGATTTTGCTGAACTATTGAGAACAGTGATGGCTTCAGCTCATAGTTAATAGCTTCAATAGTGGGTCTTGTAATACTCGAGTGCGTGCCTTGAGCATTTAGGGCAGCGAAATCCTTAAGAAGCTGATTTTGATCACCCATCGTAGCTTGTTCTGTGTTCCTTTGCACCTTTATATACATTATTACCTCTGCAAGAGTCACCGATAGTTCAGAATTGTTTTTATTGTATACTTCTGTTTGATGCCCTTGCATAAAAGAAAGTGAGTAGAGAAGAGAATAAAAAAATCTAGTCTAGCTTAATAACTTAAGCACTCAATATTAACACCGTAGTCCCCGGCAACGGCGCCAAAAACTTGGTAGGAAAAATCTGCAAGTGCACAGACTCGTTGTAGCTATCAAGGTCGATCCCACAGGGACTAGGGGTTAATTACCAAATTTCACGTTATTTGGCTAGCTAAACTAATGAGTAAATTAGAAGAGATTAAAAGAAATAAAATAAATAGCTAATCAGGTGGAATTCAATATAATACTAATGAGTAAATTAGAAGAGATTAAAAGAAATAAAATAAATAGCTAATCAGGTGGAATTCAATATAATAAGGGCCAGGATTGGGTTTTCACCACAACTTCGATACTCAATGATGAATTATTTTAGTTCTCGGTGTTGGTTTAAACTAGAAAGGGTGAATTAGCATAAATTAATCTAAATCCTCTTTCAAGGTCTAAAGATCGTGCCTAATTAATCTCAATTAACCTACTTTCGTAGAATGAAGATTAAATTAAACCCATTAAGCTTTATGCTAATCCAAATCAAATCCCCAAGGAATCTAGCCTACTTTCGTGGTTCGAATTCCCTGCTTAATTTCTAGAGGTCCGGTATTAATCTTCACTTTTCAGTCCTTCAATTAATTACCTATGGTTGCTAATACGGTGATCAAGCGAATCAACAACATTAAAACACTAGAAATCAAGTTTAAAGATTTAAACATTCACCAATAACCTATATTAATTCATCATCAATCACCAAAAAGTTGAGTTCTTTCCCAATCCTAGACAAGAAATCTACTCACACATGATTGGGATAAGAGAATACATCAAATAATTATGCAAATTAATCGTAAGAAGAAATAAATCAAAGAGAGGAAAGAATTAACCCGTCTTTCAATTGAAATCTTTAAAATCAAAACTTGTAATCCAATCTTGTACAAGAAATTAGTGTCTTCCTTCAATACATGAACTCCAAAAATAGTTGCTAATTGACGGCTAAGAGAACATAAAAAAAGATATCAAAACCCTAAACCAAAATATCTATTTATATGTCCCCAAAAAATTTGGAAAAAGATAAGATCCGCGCCATGGGTGTGGTGCGCACCACACCAGGGTGTGGTGGAATCTGTTTTGCTGATTTTGTGCTTGTTTATCTAGTTTTCGGTATTTTAGCTATAACTTTTGTGTCCTACCTCGGAATGAGGTAATTCAAGTTGCATTAGAAATCTGTTGAAGAGATCTACAACTTTCATTTTTTAAGCTTTTCCGGATTCAAATTGCATCATGGTTGAAATTCAAGTTCTTCATACTCATGCATCCATTTTCTTCACGAACCATGCATTCGAAATCTTGTTGTTGCTTCAAACTCTTGTTCAACTTCCAACAATAATCGAATCTTTCAATCTTGAGCCAATACCTACATATAAGAACACAAACAACAGCAGTATCCTCGATCTAAACACGAAATATGCATTAAAAATCCGTAAATCATGCTTGAAACACACTAAGATAATGCATATTTTACGTGTTTATCAGGAGTCCAACCAAGCTTGAGATTGCTTGAGTATTTGATCAGCATGGGGACAAGCTCCACTGCTAGGCCCTATAAGAAGCCAAGGGGGGCCTTCAGTGCTGAGGGGGTGGCTGTCTTGATGCCTCAAGCAGCTAATATTATCTCTGAATTAAGGGGAAGGATAAGGGTTGAGAGGCGGTGCCCAATCTGACCTGTTGTGAGATCCCAACTAGCAAGAATTGGTTCGCTAGTAACTCAGCTTAACCACTTAGAAAATATAGGACGGATAGATGAGTATTCTCCTGGCAGGGAGACAACGGTCTTAGCGGTCAAAGAGGATGTTGTCGACCCTAATACTACCTTAGGTGTATCGTTGCCCTAGCAAGGAGCCAATTAGGGTGGATGACGGTGTCGAGGGGAGAGCTTATACACCGTCAGACCAAATAGAGAATGGTACTGACGGGAGGATTTTGGAGGATATGCCAAGTGTTGGCATACACCAAGCTCTTCAAGCTTGTTTAGCTGGGGGGACTTTGCTGGGACACGCCCTGTTCAATCGACTTGAGCGTTCACTGGAAGGCCAAAAAGGGCTGGCGAAGGAGAAGTCGGCCAAGGAAGAGGCAAAGAAGAGAATCGCTAACTTGGAGGCCGAATTGGCTCATAAAGAAGACACTTGGTGCCGATGTTTGGATGAGAAGGAAGAGCTCCTCAAGAGCTTTCGAATCAAGTTATCCAGCAGGTGAGGACCATCGAGGACCTTCAAAGAGAGATGGTTCATCTACAAGCGGAGGCCGAGTCCGAGAAGCATTACTGGACGACAACCGAGGCAGAGGCTCAAGAGAATCGCTAACTTGGAGGCCGAATTGGCTCATAAAGAAGACACTTGGTGCCGATGTTTGGATGAGAAGGAAGAGCTCCTCAAGAGCTTTCGAATCAAGTTATCCAGCAGGTGAGGACCATCGAGGACCTTCAAAGAGAGATGGTTCATCTACAAGCGGAGGCCGAGTCCGAGAAGCATTACTGGACGACAACCGAGGCAGAGGCTCGATCGAGTCGCCTGTCTCTCGAAAAGATGAGGAGGGATTATGAAGAGCTGCAACCAAAGCTTTAGGCATCCATGGCCCTTGTCGATAAATTAGAGGACCAACTCATTCATCTGGATTCAAAGCAGCATAAAAAGAAGGTGGTTGACGACTGGCGTCATGGTCCTACGAAATAGCCTTAGCATGTAAAGATGGGGTTGATTACTTTGCCTCCTTGGTGCCTCGCGACTCTCATCCTATTCCAGATCTCTTTTATCCTTCCTATGTCTCCTGTTGTCTTGACTTGTTAAAGTATGTTGAGAAAATTAAAGCCAGATTGGATTTGAATGACGATGAGGTCGAGCCTGTTGCTGGGGCCCCTGGGAATCTTCTTCAATTGCCGCTACTAGGAGTCCGCCAAGTCCGACTCCCGAATCTGGTCGAGAGCTTTGATGACCCGCATGTTTCTTTACCTTCCTCTTTTTTTGTAAAGGAGTTTGTAATGAACTCTACTCTTATTGAATGAAAATTAAGTTTTATTTCCATTCTTGAGCTTGCCTTCATTTTTTATATTCTTTTAGCTTTGTAGCTTTGTTCTCATCTGAGATGTTGGCTGAAGTAAGTTAGTTGTAATGTGTCGACCCGTACTAGCGACTTATGATAACTAGTTTACTTGATGCCTTATTTTGGTTGAGCGTTCAAATGACCCGAACTCAATAGATGACTGCTCAAGTTTTTAGATCAATTAAGTGTTGACTCAACACTTAGTA